CAATATTCAACAACAAAAAATTCAAAATATCATCAATCTCAAAAGTACAATGAGAAAAAAGTTATAACTGTCCCCAGCAGTAAATAAAAACTGTAGTAGTATGTGAGAAAAAAATTCTGGCAATGATCTCGCTGACTACTAAACAAGACAATTTAAAAAATAGTATGCCTATGAAATAAACAGGTGGAAAAATTTTAATCTTTTGATAAAAATTTTAAACATTAAGCAAAAAGTAAGGATGATTAAGGAATTAGAAATTTGAGTACCAAAAGCAATTAAAAATAGAAATGCTGCCAAAGATTGTAAAACTTATTTTGTTATTTTTGTAAAATTGTTATGTAATGAAAATGCCTTTTTTTTGTTAAATAAAATCTGTTAAATTGTTGTGTTCTGTTTGTTCTTCTATCCTCTAGCCATGCCATGGTCGACACACAGCTACACGCCTGTAGATGTTTTCATGCCACCGACTGAGCTACCGGAAGCTAATTGTAACCCCCTTTCTGTGATTGTGCAGAAAAGTTGGAATCTTCATTGCATTCCATCTTTTCTGGACTTTTTGCGGAAAGGAAGCGTAACATAAATTGGCGCCCCACGTTGGGCGCCAATTTATGTAACACTTCCTTTCCGCAAAAAGTCCAGAAAAGATGGAATGCAATGAAGATTCCAACTTTTCTGCACAATCACAGAAAGGGGGTTACAATTAGCTTCCGGTAGCTCAGTCGGTGGCATGAAGACATCTACAGGCGTGTAGCTGTGTGTCGACCATGGCATGGCTAGAGGATAGAAGAACAAACAGAACACAAAAATTTAACAGATTTTATTTAACAAAAAAAAAAGGCATTTTCATTACATTACAATTTTACAAAAATAACAAAATAAGTTTTACATCTTTAGCGCTGCCATATAACGCTATCGACTTATCTTTTGCTGGTCCATTTTTACTCGACTGAAGCCAGGATGGCCAGGGGCTTGAAGGGGAGGTCCCAGTTATGAGGGGTGACCTCCATATAGTGGGCTTCACAACCAGTTGTAGGCGAAGTTAAAGGCGATGGCGCTGCCAAGGTACATGCATGGGTGAAAATATTGGCCAAGGCTAGGCAAAGTGAAAGGGAAAGAGAAAGGGGTGGCCCCAATCATTTTGTCCTATACGGACACACATTCTAGAAATCTAAGCACTGGTGCTATATAACCTGGGGCTACTGAGAAGAAATTTCTAGCCGTTGTTCGATCGGCGGCTCAAGTGAAAAGGAAGCGCGAGGAAGATCGCAGTCAGGCACTCCGCATCAAGCGCTCCAAGCGAAAATTTTCCAAGCAAAAAAGCTAGAGATGGGATTAATGAAATGATAATCGAGAAGGTGATTTAATAAATACCATCGGACGGTGAAACCGTTACAACATGTTAGAAAACAGATAGAAGTCGGCTGAAGAGTGAAAAGTCAACAACAAATTGGCCTTAGCAACGGGTGACGTAAACGGTCGTGCAACCTGCCGCGTTGCCAATATGTTTGCTCCCAGAAAAAATGTTGGCACAGGCCTAACTATAGGTTGGTTACCTGCCACACCAAGTTCGAGGGTGTGTTCGAACATTACTTAATATTTTGTTTTCATTTTGATTAGAAATTATTTATTTTAGTTTCATGCCATGATCTAGTGTTCCTTAGTTATTGTTACATTTGCGATAGGGCCTGCAATCGGTAAATGTAAACAACCTTACGCAATACAAAATTATCCCTGCCTGCGTGTACGCAAGTGAAAACCATTCGATACAAGCCTTACGAGCACTAGATGATTACTGACCAAAATCGCTCAACTATGATCATGGAGGTGGAAACCTTGCCTTAGACTGTACAAGATGCGGTGTTATCAAACGAACCATTGATGCAATGTTGTAGAATTGTGGAGATCCTAACCTTTCAGTTCGACCTAAAATTGTTCACCGTAAGGACCGATCCGGAATCGATCCTAAACAGATTCGATACAATTCACAATAAAGAATGTGTACGCTCAAAAAAAAATAATATATAAAACCATTATTTCGGCGTAGAGAATAAACTAAACGCATATTTTCATCATGATGCGTCAGCGTTGCTAGGCAACGCGATGATGAGTTTCACTATCCAGCCGGCTTCTATCTCTTATAACATATGCGTCTATACACATGTCTCTCTCGTTACACATTGAACTCGAACCGTCAGACAAGTTTGGTTCTCAGTGTATGAGTTACCAGTAGATGGCTCGTGTTGGTACTACGGGGTCGGCAAAAAGGGTTAAAGGTGGCCTAGTAGCCGGCATCGCCTAACCACCACTAACTACCAACCCTGCATATCTAATATTAAAGCAAAATAGCAAACAAAAAACAATAGTTGAATAAAATTCAAACAAGTGCATGTGTGATTGCGTTTTAATGTTACCGAGATTGATAACATAAATGTCTTGAAATTACCACAATGAATGTCCAAAATTATAAAAAAGGTGGCAATAATTCTAAACAGATTCAACAATTCAGCTTTGACTCGCGACTAAAATCTTACAAAGGTCTTTACATTACATTTTTTGAGAATCAACCATTCTCGGTGCCCCGGAAGTACACAGAGTTAAAATCAGCTGCAACTACTAGCTGCTCTGTGAGCATATGAGAAACAACTGAACATTCAATGTAACTTAAGTTTGCCTTCTACTATACAGGGTGTTAGTAAAGTATGTAGACAAACTTTAACCATCGAATCCTTGGTGATTTTGAAAACTGACAACCGTTCATATGAACGTCGGTAATGGCTTTCTTTCGAGCTGGAGCACTATCACTAAAGAAATACGAGTAATGTTCCAAATATTTCTATGAATAATGAAACATATCCATTGAACAGTTGGTATAACCTATAATAAATTTTGCATGCTTTACAAGTTGCTGGCTCAATATGAACGTGGATGAAAACATTATTATCCTGTATTTTGAAAAAAAAAAATAGTTAGAAGGTCAGTAGTTTGAACAGTAACATTCGACTAGAACGACAACAACAGAAAATATCGAATAGTTTTTTTTACAAAATGTTCAAAGTGGCCACCTTCCACTTCAATCAGGCGTCTAGTCTGTCAACATTGACTGATGAACTCTCCTAAAAATATTTTATTTTGTATAGTCAGACATGTCTCTCCACGCTTTATGCTAATAAGCTATAGCTTGAAAACAAAGCCGTTGCGGACCCATGTTCATATGGAAATTTCGTCTTCAAATTGACCAAGGATTCGATGGTTAAAGTTTGTCTACAACTTTATTAACACCCTGTATATATGTATATATACAGGGTGTCCGCAAAGTTGGGGTTTTCCTTTACACGACGTGTATATCTTGAAAACATAAGCAATTTTTCTTAGTACCATATACACCAATGTCTTAAGGGAACCGAGATAAAGGGCTCTGCAACATCAAAAATATTGAATACCGTCCTGCAGCCGCGACCCGCGACATCACCGAGTGGTACAAGGTCACTGGCTCAACCCGACGACAGAACTGGGTCGGGGTCAGTGTGTCAGGTCAGTATGCAACCTTCAACTTACGGCTACGGTCACGTGTGTAGAGGTAAACGAACCCGTATAATCGATTGCGTTTCAAAAAAAATAATGGCACACTCATACACCATAATGAACTCGTTGATATGTTGTTAATTTATGGCGAATGTCTTCAAAATGCTACAGAGGCTTCGCGAGTGTATGCAGATCGGTTCCCTAGACGACATCATCCAAGGCCCCGCAGATTTGTGTACCTGGCCCAGAGAGTCAGGGATACGGGCCATTTGGAGGAATTTCGAGGTGGCACAGTGGGAGGCCTAGACAACCACGAATGGTGCAAGTTGAGGAAGAACTACTGAATCGCGTAGACGAGAACCCCTCAACAAGCACTAGAGACGTGGCTAGAGAAGTGCAAGTATCAAAACTAAAGTGTGGCAAAATGCTGCGTGAAGAGGGCTGTATCCGTTTCACGTCCAACGTGTACAAGCCCTTCAACCTGACTGACGATTTCCAGCAAGAGTGCGGTTTTGTGAGTGGTTGTTGCATTAACATGACAATAATCCGGACTTTTTGAAGTGCATATTGGTGACAGACGAATCTACGTTCACGCGTAATGGGGTGATAACTTTCGCAACACTCATGTTTGGTCAGTAGAAAATCCGCACGCTGTCCGTCGGGGCACATTTTCAACAAACATTTCGGTGAATCTTTGGGCTGGCATGGTGAACGGTATGCTCATTGGACCATTTATTGTCCCAAATCGATTGGACGGGATGCAAACCTAGACTTTTTTTTACGCAACATTTTGCCTTCCTTGTTAGAAGATGTGCCATTAAATGTAAGACAATCAATGTGGTTTCTGCACGATGGTGCACCCCCGCCCATTTTAGACGCGAAGTGCGTGAGTTTTTTGAATGAATTATTTCCGAATAGGTGGATCGGACGTATGGACCCGTAGCGTGGCCTCCGCGATCTCCAGACTTAACACCATGTGCTTTTTTTTTGGGGAGAAATGAAACGCTTAGTGTACAAAACTGAAGTGCATACGGTTGACGAACTTCGTCTCAGAATTGAACAAGCTGGTGCTTTCATTCGGGGGAGGACTCCATTCTCAAAGCCTCACCGATGCTTGGCTACGTCGTGCACGCACCTGTGTTTTTGAATTAAACGGCGATAACTTCGAACAATACCTATAAAGTACGTTTACCTACAAACTGAAAACGCGGCAACGCCGTCATATTTGTGAACTGGAGAGTGAGTACTTTTTCCTTTATTTTTTTTACTTGGTCGCCCTACTTTCACTACACATTACCTTTGTTATTTCAAGGGTAGTTCTTTCTGAAAAGGACAACCCCAACTTTGCGGACACCCTGTATATATATATATATATTCATCATTCACCCTGAATGCCTGGTCATTAACGTTAATGCCCAATTATCGACATTGTAAGTAAGATATAAGCAAAGCATATACACTATGTACTATGCTCACCAACCTATAGGATTATTTTCTGTTTTCTCTACATTTTCATTGGCAGTTGTGCTACTGTCTCTTCTGTTTTTTAGCGTCCATGGTGCGGCTGGTGTAGGCAGTGCTGGCGGGACCCCTTCTTTTACCCATGGTGGTCGAAATGTTGTTCTGTGGGCAGGATTTGAGGACTCCTTGCCTGCAGGCATTGCTAGGCGTACACCCTGAAATCAACATTATTATGGGAGAATTAGTGTTAATCAGAGAGACGAACTATTCTGAAGCAAAAATAAAGTCGGTCTAGTTTTGTATATATCGTAGCTTCTTAGGGCTTCTTAGTTAAGAAACCGGTCACTTAGCTGTGTAGCGCTACTTAGACTAATGACTTTATAGGTGCACACCCCGTTTTTCTATAAAGCTAAATAAACTAGCCTTTTTAAGAATTCCGAGTATCTTTGTATATAAAGCTGAAATCTCCAATTACTTAGACTAATGACGTAATATGGACCCGCCCATCTTCTATGTGGCTGAGATGAGCCCAGCTGCTTAGAAATGCAACCTATTTTTCTAAAAGACCGAAACCACCAGATACTTAGCCAGGAGGGATCAGAACAACCCAGTGAACAATGTAAAAATCAATATAGAATATCTCATATAAAACACCGGTTGATATGTATGAGAATCCGTCTGTCTCTTGTTAGCCTGTCAAGCAAAGAACATTCATGATCCTTAAAGCCTTAAATTCTCTTCAGTCTTTCAAGGTTTCATTTCCAATTTAAACACTTGGTAACCTCAAAAATAATGATTTCAAAGTAGTTATCCTTTGAATAACAAACTATTTTCCCAAACTTCAGTACGCAACCAGGTGTTTTTTCGCTGCGTGCAAGGTTTTTCTTAGAACTTTCGGATCATTTTGAACAAAAAGACCCTGAGCAACTGGTCCTTAGATTTGACCGTTTTCAAGTTATAAGCGATTTAATGTCAGAAAGACCATAGAAATGGGATCTTTCAATGCTTGAAACATTGGTTAAAAATTATTATTATGAGGTTGCCTAGTGTATAAACAGATTTAGCTTTTTAAGGCACCGTGCATGACTTTTATGCAAGTGTGAAAAAACTCAATATTCATTTTAAAAGGCGTTGACTGATAAAATGCAGAAGCAGAAAATGCTTTAATTTTTGTGTTAATGAATTCTTGTAATATCTATGATTAGAATGAAGTATAATTTTTGATCGGTTTTTACTTAGAGGAAAATATCTCATTTCATTTATTAACTATTGAGGTTTGAGTATTATCAAACATATTTCGGTTTGGCGACCGATTTGAATATAGACTCAAGCAATAAAATTTGGAGCGCAAATGAGTATACCCGTAACCACGGAATATCTTGTCTAACAAAGCACCTAAATGAGATTTAAGCGTTTATTGATAATATCATAACAATATTGTAATAATTTTGAAAAAAGTACATAGCTGACCTTTGATTTTTGAAAAATAAACTTTTTCAAAAAGCGATCTCGAGGCATCTCACAACGCGTCCGTATTGTTCAAACGTTTTACTTAAATAATGAGTCGATTGTTGCAACGCTTCGGAAGATACGACAAGATTTTGGTCGAAATTGTGTTCCCAGTGTCAGCACCATTCGTCAGTTGGTGTGGAAATTTGAATAGTTAAAGACTTGCCAAGGTCGGGACGTGTTCGAACTGTTTGTACTCCGGAAAATATCGAGAGAGTTCGTGAATGTGTAGTGGAGCGCCCTGAGACGTCTACCACACATCGTTCTCAATAACTGGGTATTCGTCGCACGTTATTATGCATTATTTTAAAAAACATTTGCATTTATGGCCATACAAAATTCAGTTAACCCAAGAAGTACAGCCCAGTGACCATGAAAGTCGTCGACAATACAATCATGCAATATTGCAGCTTGATACTCAAAATAACGATTTTTACTGACATCTGATAATGAGCCATGAAGCCCACTTCGATATGGACGGATTTGTTAGTAAGCAGAAATGTCGTATTTGGGCATTAGAGAACCCTCGTGTCATCCATCAACGACCACTACATCCTCGTCGAGTCACAGTTTGGTGCGGTGTTTGGTATGGAGGTGTCATTGGACCTTATTCGTTGAAGACGCTGCAGGTAATTCTCTTACTGTCACTGGCGAGTGCTACCGTGATATGGTGCAAAAACTTTCTGGCTCCTCAAAACCAAAAACTTTACCTGCAAACATGTGGCTTCCAACAGGATGGAGCAACTTGTCACACAGTTAGGGGAAACAATGAATCTTTTGCGAACAATATTTCCGGAACGTTTAATTTCTCGGTTTGGTCATGTCAACTGGCCACCAAGGTCACCGGATTAACGGCTCCTGACTTTTTTATGGGGATTTTTTAAAAATAGGGTTTATGCCAACAAACCAAATACTGTGGAGCAGCTAAAGAACAATATTACGGAAGTCGATTGAAATATTCCTCCCGAAACTTACCAACTGTGATGGAAAATGTAATCAAGAGGGCTCAGGTTTGCGCGGCTTCTGGAGGCGGATAGTTTCAATAAAATATTAAAATGAAAAGAATGGACGTATTTTATTCCATTTCACAAATATTCAAGGTACAACCAGTCAGTTACATATCGGCCACCCTGTATATTCATTCTGAACAATTATTCTTGTATACTCTACTGATGCTTAATTCGACAAAGCCATAAAATATTTGTTTTGAACACGCAGGATGCAACTTTTCTACGACTTAACTCATTGAAAACGTGGCAGTGAACACATAAAACAAATAAATCTATTTTTAGTCGATCGTTCTTGCACATGGCATAATTTCTATCAGAGGTTATGTGGTTATATTGATAACTATTTCTCCATGTGTTAGCGACACCCTCCGCCTATGATGAGGTAATAAATATTAAGATTCTTTTTCGGATATTGGGGAATGGGCATCTACTGTGTCTACACTATATCAAGTGGCTGCACTGATACCCTATGAGAATGGTAGGACATTGGGTCCTGCACCCTAAGGCTGAAAAGATGGTTATCAAGACGCGTCTATTTATTATTGGTATTTCCAGTTATTCGCGCATTTGTTGGTCTATAACATCAGAAGTGGGATCGAGCTCACCCGTCCTACCAGCTTGCGTGAGATTAATTTCGTGCGATTCTGAAATCATGTGTATTGATGAAGAAATTGAATTGGCATTGTCAGAGTGCCCTAGTGGTCCCAGTTGTTTTAAAACGTAATTTCTACGTGTGCCATTTCATGAAAGTGTACCGACGTGACGAGTAAACTTGTAGTGAGGGTTTGGTCGAAGCAATGTCTAACGGAATGTGTGGCTAGAGATTCGTAGACATGTTTTGTAAGATGTTAGCCATCTCCAGATAGAAGCTGTGCAAAATATGTCTTTGACATACAAGCGAAATGAATAGTGAGACTTCTTTGGCGCGTAAAAGCAAAATGAACTGATATTTCGCTTGATTTTTGGCATAAGCATTGAGCAGATTTACTTGCATACGTCGATGCAATGATATGTAATGAGAGATGAGATGGGCAAAGTTTTGATCGTTGAGAGTGCTGGTTGTAGTTTGATGAGTAGATGTCACTCGAGTTTGCGACTGGATGTTGTATGAGTGAGATCCTAAAATGATAAGCATAACTGGATGAATATAAAGGGAAAGTTACAGGATTTAAGTACAAAAAGGAATCGGGTCAACCTTGTGTTTTGGAGTCTGGCATGGGATTTGCAGCTAGCGGAACTTCGAGCTATATCTTATATGTACAACGGGTACTATAAAAATTTTGCAATACAGCTTTATTTTTTTATATATATCGAAACAGCCGCGTAGGCAGAAGCCTAAATGCCGGAACAGCGCGGCTGCTATGATGATCCCAAGGAAACTTTGTTAATACGATTTTTGAACTGCCTAAGGTTAGTAGAACTGGGAAAAGCTTCCTCCCGTAGATTGTTCCACAATCTAGACACCCTCGGGACAAAGGAGCGGTCGTATCGGCCAGTTCTGGATGTACGAAGTTTGACACGGTTAGGATGGGACGCCGAAGTCAGGCGGGTCTGTCTGGCAGGCACATCGCGCGGCGGCATCATGGAAGAGAGCTCTGAGGACCAAAGCCCGTTGGTGTAGCGATAGAAAAGAGCTAGATCGCCGACGACCCGCCGGTGCGAAAGAGTCCCGAGACTGTCTGTTAGAGAAGAGTCATCGATCAGTCGGACCGCCCTCCTCTGGACAGCATCGAGCATGGACAATGTAGTCGGGGCGGCAGCACCCCAAATGTGTGAGCAATACTCGAGGCTAGGCCTTATCTGGGCCTTGTATAGTGAGAAGGTCATGCGGAGAAAAGTACTTCTTAGCCCTAAAACAAATAGCCTAGCTTTTTCCAGCAGCTGCAGCTATTGAAGAGATGTGTTCGTGCCAGATCAGGTCCTCGGTGATCTGGACTCCGACCAGCCGAAATGAATGGATCTTTGGTAGAACTCGGCCGTCCATCGAAACTGTATGAGCGCTTAGGACGCTTTTTGTTCGTCAAAGTACAGTACTGTGTTTTGGAAGCATTGAACTGTACAAGATTGTTGCGTCCCCAAGCATTGACAGCCTCCAGGTCCCTTGTCAGAGAAGAAGTCGTCGCTATTCTTCTTTTTTCCAGCTCAGCCGCAGAGATCGGCTTGTCACTCTGAATGCCTGCATGTAGAGTGCTGTCATCAGCGAAGCTGTGGATTGGGTTGATCGTGCAGGAAAGGAGGTCGTTGATATGTAAGAGAAACAGTGTTGGAGCCAAGACCGATCCCTGGGAACACCCGCGTTGACGGTGTGGGATGAAGGGGAGAATCCGTCAATTACGACGGATATCTTGCGGCCAGAGATGAAGTCAGCCACCCATCTGCAAAGCTTTTCTGGGAGGCCATAGGATAGAAGTTTGCTTAAGAGGGCAGTGTGCCACAGCTGATCGAACGCTTCGTGATGTCAAGAGCAACGACATGAGCCTCACCATGAGACTGGATGAGTTTACTCCACAGTTGCGTGACGTAAGCTAGGAGGTCTCCTGTGGATCGTTGGTGCCGGAAACCGTACTACCTGTCGCTAATCAAGCTGTGACGTTCGAGATAGTCCAGAAAGCTCGCGATTTATGCACCTCTCCATCACTTACTTATAACATCAAGCAGAGCTATAGGCCTGTAGTTGTAAGGGTCGGTCTTAGATCCTTTTTTGGGATGGGCTGTACATGAGCAAATTTCCAGTTTTCTGGGAAGGTGCCGGATTCATAAGTTATCTGGAAGAGACGTGAAAGAACTGGAGCAAGCTCCGCTGCACATCTCTTCAGTACAATGGCAGGAATCAAGTCCGGACCAGAAGCTTTGTTGATGTCGAGCGACAAGAGCACTCGTCTTACGGTCTTATGCCTGAATGTTACCCTCCCGCATAGTGTGGGGAACCCTTTGAATTGACGGCACTTGGGCGTTGGTGGGGACGGTCCATGGTGGAGTTGGCAGCAAAGATCTTGGCTAGCACTTCCGCCTTGGCCTTTGATTCGAATACAATAGCTCCATCCTGACACGTAGTGGTGGAAGGCTACTGTGTGAGAAGTTCTTTTCAATCTGCTTGGCCAGCGTCCGGAAAGACCGACTGCCATTACGTTGCGACATTACCCTGTGCCTAACTTTTATATCATGCTGGTTTTTGGCATTGCGAACTGCTTCGTTATATTTGTTTCTGGACTCGACGTCGGCTTGTCTGTTCTCTACAGTGGGGTTTTGCAAGTAGGTTCTGTGTGCCTTAATCTTCTGCTGGCGAGCAGTGTCACACGATTTGTTGACCCAGCCGTTGGACACTGGTTTAGGAACTTTCACTGTGTGAGGGATGTATTCCTCCATTCCGAGGTGGATAATTTCGGTTATTGAAGAACAGACAGTCGACGCATCCGCGTCAGTGAAACAGACATCTCACCAAGGAAAGCTAGAGAAGAAGTCTCTGAGCCCCTCCCAGTCGGCATGTCCGTAATGCCAAGTTTTGCGGCCTGAACTGAACGAGTTTCTGCTGCCACAGCGGCTTCTGACCGAAACCTAACCTCCACAACACCGTGATCTGAGTTACCCAGGGGGGACAGGACAGCAGTGCTGTAAGGGACAGGATGCATGGTCAGAAGAGATCCAGCAGACTACTGGCGGTGACGAGACGCGGGGGAAAAAGGTAGGGCTCGTGACCAGCTGGGTCAGCCCATGAGTAAGAGCGAACGCTTCGACTGCACGACCTGCTGCATCGGTCTTATTTGAGCCCAACCAAAGCTCATTATGGGCATTGAAATCACCGAGAAGAACTACCTCTGAAGCAGGGTGATTGATGTTCAGGAAGTCGATCTGGACGGCGAGGTATTCGAGTAGGTCATCCCAGTTATGGTTCGAGGGAGAGCGATAAAGGAAGCAAATAAATTTGGGTGATGTTTTGGAGTTGAGGCGACGCCACAGAATGTCTTTCCGGTCTGATTCCAAAGAAAGATCCCTGGAGCAGGAAAGACTGCTGCGGACAAAAGCCACAACTCCCCGTTCTTTCTTTCTCAGATTGGAGTGCACCTCGTAATTTGGGAAGTTGAGATGGTTAATCGGTGCAGTCTCTGAGATTTTTTCTCCGCCAAGAAAAGCACGGCGGGACGATTGGATTGCAGGTAGTGATGAACAACATCAATGTTGCTGTTGATCCCGCAGATGTTCGAAAAACAAATTTTATCTTCGATGTTTTCCCTCGAGCCCACCCTCCACCCGGACATTCCGAGAGTGGAGTGAGTTTACGTCCGGAGTTCTTAATGCTCGAGGGATCCATCATCATTAATTTTTTTTTGTTTTGGTAGATAACCGACTGCATAGCTTAGGTGTGGAAACATGCGGACATTCATAAGACACCCTGGAGAAAAGCTAGCGGGTGGTACTGCCTCGGTCGACTGGTCCTTGTCTACCACCTTCTTTTTACGTGCTAGTGATGTTAAATAGACCTAAAGTGGCCGTTATTGACTTCGTTCAAAGTAATTTACACCACATTCAATACACTTCTCGATTCGCCAAAACCAGTCCTTAAACCAGCTCTGCCAAGTTTCACCAGGGAGTGCGGCGGCACACTCGTTGTCCTAAGCCCTCAGAAGGTCCTCATCGCTAGACAACCGTTTTCCTTTTAGCTTTATTTTCACATGCGGAAGTCGCAGGGAGCAAGATCGGGACTGTAAGGAGGGTGCTCAATAAGTTTCAGTCCAGTTAGTAGTGGTCAAACGCTCCGTACCAAGTGTCCTTTGGCCGCAGGTTTTTCATAGACTCTATCAGTTTAGGCAGGGACTGTTCCTTGTTCCACTTAGCTGTGACTGTCTTCTGTGTGTACAAAACGACGCGCTCCACAATCCCGCTCACACAAATATCATTTTTTTCTTAACAGATCGGGATTTTCTGACAGCTACGGGTGTGTGTCCTCACCATCAAAGACCCAAACTTTGTTTTGAGCCTTGGTCGGCACATTGTAATAATGGAGCCAAGTCTCGTCACTTGTCATGATGCTGTTCACATACCGAGATTGCCCTGTATCAAACATTTTCAGCATCTTTCGGCACCACTTAGTTCGACGAGTCTTCTTCTCTTCCATTAGACTATGCAGTACGTTTAAATGGTCATGCAGAATTGAATGAATTGCTGGTGCGTGGAGGTCTCCTCTATCTGTTGGGATGTCACTCTCCAATCTTCGTCAAGCATTTTCCTCACAGCAGTAACGTTTTCCTCTGTTACTGATGCTCGCGGCCTTCCTTCCCTCTCAGCGTCCTCCAGAGTGAAATTGCCCCTTTGGAATTATCTGTACCAACCTGAATATAGTCGTACGATCAGGACAATCATTCTTTAATGCAAGCGTCATTTCTTCTAAGCACTGGTCTATGCTTAAACCACGAGTAAAGCTATAAGGGTAAAACTGTCCTTATCGCACTACGTGACCACGATGCCATATTCCGCACTTTACCCTGTCATACGAAACATGAACAACTAAATGAGCAGACGTGCTGCTGGCGGCTACTATGCACTCATGCACACGTCTCAATATGCAGTAACATGCAGCCCCTGCGTCCGTTGTTAATTCATATTGCAAAACTTTTATAGCACCCTGTATGTATTTTCAAGATTTCTTTCAAAATCGT